TATAAGATAATTTTTTTCTATTACATTGCCGTCGCAAATGTATAATAACGGAGATAGCATATCCCAAATTTTCTCTATTTTCTTCCATTAATCTTCCGCCATTATCGCCTACCTGGCCTCCCACACAGCTGTCTCCATAAATCATCACGCGCATGCGTTCCCGTACACATCACGCGGCCAATCAATTTTTTTTTTTTTTTAACCAATTAAAATGATTTTTGGTTTAATTCGTGGTATTTTTGGCCCAATCAAATTCGATTTTTATTTTGGGTCTGTAGTGGACGTCTCCCCTACAACTGCGTATCGCATTCCGACGCGCTGCCGTCTCCTAGCAACCAAGCGAGAGCTGACGCCAGATGGTACGGTAGCCTAGCAACAAAACTAGTCACCGGCGACTTTCTGGGTTTTCCCAACATGATTCATAGAGGACTGGCGGCTGCTGCTGGGTATATAAGCTCTGTTTCTCCATTGAGATTCATTCTGCCCATCTTCCTGAAAAAGCAACACCTCCTCCAGCAAGCTCCACGCTGTCAGCATTCATTCAACCAGGAGGCCAGCAACAGGCAACATCTTCTCTAACGAAGCTCCTGCACATCTACCTCCTTCAACACGCTACTCACCGAACGTCTCTACTGAGCAGCTCCTCACCACACGGCACCTCCAGCACCAGACTGTCTATCATATAACTTATATTATATAAGAAAACCACATTAGAGTTTCCTTCCATCCCGAGTGCTAGACAACATTAATATCTCGATACCCCTACAATGGTGACTCCCGGAGATAAGCACTCACACAGGATGGAGGATGGACGGATCTCTCTGCCGACTTTCAACCACAACGTCGAGGACTGGCTAGACCATGTGGAAGCAGCCCTCGCCGGCTCACGAGCGACCGACGAGCAAAAGTATTGCGCCCTGCTCTGTGCCTTGCCCACGGAAGTGGCCACGCGGGTCTCACAAACCATTTCCAACCCTCCAGATGACAACAAATTCGCTACCCTGCGGGCTGCCTTGAAGACGTGTTATCAACAGACCAGCCCCAATCTCCTGCAAGATCTATCCTCTACCTCCCTCGGGAACTCAACCCCGGGACGTCTCTGGGAGGAGATGTGTCGACTGAACTCCCGTCACACAGACAGACTCCCCGACTCTATCCTGCGCCAGCTTCACGCACAAAAGCTACCCACAGAAGTACGCAACATCCTGTCCACAGTAGATTGCTCTACGAGACCGGAACTATATACAACCGCGGCAGATAGAATTTTTAACGAGTGCGCTGCTGCACCCCTTGCCGCCACGGTCACACCAGTACCTACCATCGAACTTGTAAGCCGGGTCAACACCCCTCAGCCGAGCAATACCTCTCAAGACATCAAGGACCTGTTGCAAATTTTGAACCGCAGGATGGACACCATTGAGCAGTTCTGCTCCTCCATACCCGCTACTGCGCCGGTTCCTGACTCACACACTACGCCCTACAAGTTCCGACACACAGCAGCCAACCCCCAGCACAACAAATTTACCCTCTGCTGGTATCACCAGACTTTCGGCTGCAATGCTCGAAACTGTGAGCCCTATTGCACCTATTCGGGAAACGGCAACACCGGAGGCTGGTAGACGCCTCAGCCTCCGTCCCTCCAGGCGTCTCATTACTGCGTGTCACCGACCGCACCTCCGGCAAGAAGGTCCTCATCGACACCGGTTCATCGGTCAGCCTCATCCCTCCCTCACTACGAGACAAGTCAAAGCAACCTTCTTATGACCTGTTCGCTGCCAACGGTACCTCCATCGCCTCCTACGGCGTACGCACCCTCGCCTTAGACCTCGGTCTGCCCAAGACTCTGCGTTGGTTATTCGTGATAGCAGACGTGTCTCAACCCATCCTTGGTTTCGACTTCCTCACCTTCCACAAGCTCGGCGTCAAACCAAGTCATCTATGCCTCATCCATGAGCCTACAGCACGCAAGATCCAGGGTTCTCGTGCCAGACACACCGACACTATCACCTGTCTTGCGCCTTCCAACGAGTTCTCCTCCCTGCTCGACGAATTCAAGGAGCTTTTCTCACCCCGAGTCTCCCTACCCCCACCACCTACATCGGGAATTTTCCACCACATCGAAACCAAAGGACCACCAGTCTTTTCACGCCCTCGCCGCCTGCGCCCTGAGCTCCTGTACACAGCCAAAGTAGAATTCAACAAACTACTGCAAGACGGCATCATTCGCCCTTCAAGGAGTCCCTGGGCATCGCCTCTTCACATGGTTCCTAAGCGAACACCCGGCGAGTGGAGGGTGTGTGGCGACTACAGAGCCCTGAATCTCGTCACCAAACCTGACAGGTACCCTATTCCGCATGTCCAGGACTTTCACCACAAACTTCATTGCAAGACTATCTTCTCGAAGATCGACTTGGAGCGCGCCTTCCACCAGATCCCAGTAGCGCCGGCAGATACCCAGAAGACAGCCATCACCACTCCGTTCAGACTCTTCGAGTACACTTTCATGAGTTTTGGCTTACGTAATGCAGCACAGACTTTCCAGAGGTTCATGGACCATATGCTTCGCGACCTCGATTTTGTCACCGTCTACATTGACGACATCCTCGTCGCATCTTCGACGCCTGCCGAGCACCGCCACCAACTACAACTCCTTCTCCAACGCCTGCAGAACAACAACATGAAAGTTCATCCTGCTAAGTGCGTCTTTGGAACCTCGGCCATCGATTTCCTCGGTCACAGAGTCTCGCCCAGTGGCATACAACCCCTACCACAGAAGATAAACGCGATTAGGGAGTTCCCCAAACCTGAAACGGCGAAGAAACTCCGAGAATTCCTGGGTTTAGTCAACTACTACCACCGCTTCATTGACAAAGCTGCCACCGTCCTAGCCCCCCTACACGACCTTCTCAAGGGACGCCCAAAGAAGTCTCACAAGTCTCTCATGTGGACTCAAGAGGCTACTACGGCATTCACCACTATCAAACAGCACATCACACGCCTCACCCTCCTGGCCCACCCCGCACCTAACGCCCGGACCACTCTCACAACAGACGCTTCTTCTACTGCAGTGGGCGCCGTCTTACAGCAGGAGATCAACGGAATTTTCATGCCCGTTGCTTTCTTCTCACAACGGCTTCAACCACCACACCTCAAGTACAGCGCTTTTGATCGAGAACTCCTGGCCATATACTTGGCTGTCAGACATTTCCAGCACTTCCTCGAGGCCCGTCAGTTCACCATCTTCACTGATCACAAGCCCCTCGTCCACGCCTTCGCTTCAGCTTCCCAATCACATACACCTCGTGTCCTGCGCCACTTGGCTTACATCTCGGAGTTCTCCAGCGACGTCCAACACATTAAAGGCAGCCACAACGAGATCGCCGACGCCCTCTCTCGTTGTATATCCACCATTCTTCCCTCATCTCCACCCATTGATTATGGGCAGCTAGCCGTGGCTCAAGAGAAAGACGAAGACCTGGCAGCATACAAGACATCCCCCTCAAGCCTCATACTCCAAGAACTCCCTGTTCCTGGCACAAAGATAAAATTGTGGTGCGACGTATCCTGTGGACAGCCTAGACCGTTCGTGCCTCACGTCCACCGCCACGCTGTTTTCGACTGCATCCATGGTCTCAGCCACCCGGGTGTGCGGGCCTCCCAGCGCCTCCTCACGCAACGTGTCGTCTGGCCTGGCATCAAGTCTGATACTAAGAAATGGGCTGCCCAGTGCCTGGCCTGCCAGTCCTCCAAAATACATCGTCACATACGGGCCCCCTTACAAGCCTTTCCTATTCCCAAAGGACGTTTTCAAGTAGTACACCTCGACATCGTGGGACCTCTTCCATCATCCTACGGTAGCACCTACATCTTCACCTGCATCGACCGTTTCACCAGGTGGACAGAAGCAATTCCCATGCCCAACGCTACAGCAGAGACTACTGTCCGCGCCTTCATGTCCGGTTGGGTTTCCCGTTTTGGCCCCCCCGCAACCGTAATCACTGACCGAGGAGTACAGTTTGAGTCACAACTCTGGCAGCACCTCCTACAGTTCCTCGGCACGTCTAGACAATGCACTACAGCATACCACCCTCAAGCCGCAGCAAGCTACACCACCTCCTCCGCCGCTGCCTGGCGGCCCTCGCTCCCGCCGCCATTGTTATATAAGACACCATAAAAGTTACGGAAATATTATTTTAATGCTATAATGCAATTTAGAAATAAAGAAAATAAACTAATAAAAATAAAAACAATTTAAAGTGGGAAGTGAATTGTGTGGGATAGGTGAGAGGTAGTGGGTTGGGTGGCTGGACAACTCCACCCTTGACCACCTTAACATGACAGTATGCAATTTCACCATAATACTGTACTCATATAATTTATGTTCATTTGGTGCTGGGCTAATATATCGTAAAATAATACATCTTCCTGAAAAAATCCCATACCCAACCTCAGACGAGTTATTGCATTCTAATATATTTTAGCAATTGTTTACAAAACCCACCAGCTGACCGTCATCAGCGGCCTCCCTCCAAGCAGTGTTGCCAATGCTCTACTTCTCTTGTGCATTTCTTCTGTCACTGCTCAAGATGGTTAGAGCTTACCACAGCAACTGTCATCAACTCTTGAATTGAATCTTTTCATTTCCAATATGAATATTTACTATGCATTTACTGTACTGTATTTTAAGAGAGATGACATTAATTACACTGAACTTCATTATTATTATTAATATTTTTTTATTAAATTTTTAACTTGAATCTTTGACTAATTTCAACAACATAACAGACAGGTACCAGCACTTTCCATCTGGATGGGTGAGATGAAATTAGTTTATCTCCCTTGTGTCGACGGGCATGTTAGAAACGGGCAGCAGACGTTTCCCGATTCACACACGACATCCACCAAACGGGCCGGTATGTCATCGATTGCTATGTGACATCAGACATGGCCATCAAAAAGGGGTAGTGATGCAAAACTACTTTTAGTAATAAAATATATTATAATAATATGGAAATGCTTTTATTTTTACAAATTAAAGGAAATTAATTCATATACAGTACCATAAACCCTTGCTATTTGCGAAGGTTAGGTTCCAAGAATGGCGCAAAATGGGAAATCCACGAATAGCAACTTATGCTACCTTAGTGCACTACTGTATACCTGTACTGTGTATGAGAAGCTTAAGTTTGGAGCTTGATGAAGTGTACTGTACAGAAGGATGAAATCTGGTTACTGAAGCTTAAGGAGATCATCAGGATCACTGTTGGAAGAGGGTGATGCAGTGTTGGTTGATGGTGAGGCGAGTGGCGCGGAGACTGGTGAAGTGGCGGCAGCAGCCGACTGAATAGGTGAGGGAGACAAATCAGCTGGTTCTTTCTTGAAAAACATCGTGATTGGTAGGCGTTTCCTCTTGGCATTGGGGTCTCTAAATGTTTCACTCCACTTGCACTGACACTAGGCAGTCTTTTAAGGACCATTTCACACAGAAATACTAAAATTTTGAGTACAACACAAGAGACACTGCATCGCAGGAAATAGTTGAGTGCAAACAGAGGGAGAGGAGACACTGCGGGAGCATGGGGGTGACTCGTTGAGCTGCGGGAGAGGCTCGTAAGCTTGCCAACATCTGCCTACTGTGAATAGTCGAAACCGCAAATCACAAACCCATGAATAGCAAGGGTTTACTGTACATTTTATTTTTAAATATTTCTTAAAAAAATGGGAGGGGGGAATAATATATTTTATGGTAGAGAGATTTTACATTTTCATATGCTAACAAAACTTTTCATTTAAATAGAAGCATAAATAAAATTAAGAAAACAAATTAGTCTAATAGAACAAAATTGAACCCCCAAAATATAAGAAATAAACACAAATATGTACGAAGCAGATATGATCCCACTCTGATGGGCCCCAGCTCTTGTGAATGTTCTCTGCCTCTGTCAAAAAAACAAAAATATTTGGAAATACTGTCCTGTACACTGTTCATACACACATGACAACCTTGTAGGATACAAATACTTTACACAGGTGGTCCTTACTATACGAAATGGTTGTATTCCACAGAAGTGAGTAAAGCAAAAATTCATTTACCCCAAGTGACTTTCCTAGAAAAACTTATAAACAGAAAATACATTACTGGGGTTGATTTTCAGGCAACTTACACAACTAAAACTAACCTACTGGTAATAGTCTGTTCACTCAATGCTTGCAATTGTAGCCTGGGGTCAGTTTGTAGCAAGGCAGCTGATTGGTTGACTGACAGACACCCGAAGAATCGCAACAATTCTTCAGTAGTGTTTAATCTCTAGTATTTACACCCTGATATTTTAATCTGTGTTGATCTCTGATAATTTCCCTAACTTAAGAAAGAAAAAATTAGCATGTGAAATGCTCTGGTAACATAAAAACCTTGATCAAAACAAAAATACAAAATTTGGGCACCATTCTCCACCACGCTGTGTGACATCATGCAGCGAGGAGTTTCCGTCCCAGAATTTGTTTATAATGTGCGTTCATATGCTAATTTTTGCTTCACCTAGTGTGGAAATCATCAAAGATCAACATAGAAAGGTTATTACCCCTTAAAATATCATAATATAAATACAATAGATTAAATACTAAAGAACTGTAGTGGCTCTTCGGGTTGTCTGTTCGCCAACCAATAAGCTGCCTTGCTACGAATTGACCCTAGGCCTCAGTTGCAAGCTTCGAGTGAACAGACTATAAGTAAAGAAGACATAATAACACAATAAATCGATTATCATGAAGAGTAAACACTTTCACGCTAAATTATAGGCTTAGTATAGTTTAGGTTAGGGTAACATTAAGGCATTTAATCATCTGATAAAATAAGTGGAGTTCTTAATTTTAATGAGATCCAATTAATCAATAAAGTATAATTAAATAAATATAGGAAGCTCCCATGTCATTTGTCAGAATTCGGAACACAATTTTTCCTAGCAACAATATTACAAATAGTGGTTAGTTCCCAAGCCAGTTAATAAAAACCTCTTTAACCCATAATGATGTTGAAATATTGTACATCTGCGGTGAACAGTGCAGCTTTGTAGAGAATCTGGTTGTGAGAAAATCAAGAATATGAGAAAACCAAACAAGCCAAACCAAACCTACATGAACTCTACCCAACCCAACACGAACCAACGTAAACTCAACCTGCATGAACTCTACCCAACCCAACCCGACCTAAACCTGCATGAACTCTACCCAACCCAACCACGGATGAGCTCTTAGAACATAATCCCCATGGTTGGTGAAAGATTACTGTAATGTGAAAATTAACTAGTGAAATTTTCTTTCAATGACAGTGCTATTATATAATGATCATACCAATAATTCAACTAGCTACCTCACATTCAGTATAAAAAGTATCATGTTATATAAATCTCAAACATCTAGGATAGGATTATTCTTACCTTTAATGAATTTAGTTTAATATCATTTATCATTCATTTTCCTTAGGTGAGAGAGTCCCTTACTAATTGCTTCTTCCATGGCTGCATACTTGGGTCTAGCATGACGGTTTCTGCTCTTATGCCCTGAAGTTCCATAATATTCAAAGGTAGGCGGTGGTGCAAAGGCATGATCTCTTTCCTCTCTGGGATCATCTCCACTGTTATCATCTGTACATGTTTTCGCATGATTTGAACATTCTGTCGCATGGTCATGTTTATTCCACATATTTGATTGAGTAGTAATGTGAGAACCTGTGGGATATACATGATCTTTTTTATGTGACGGTGCTACTCCATCTTCTTCTTGCTGGCCATGTTTACGCTTCTTTTGTGATTCATAGAACGAGGGTGGAGCAAATTCATCGTTTCTCTGAATTCTCTGACGTTCAACCCATTGTTCTTGTGATAGAGTTGAAGTTACCCCTTCCTTTCCAAAGTCCCATTCTCTGACATAGGTAATTTTTTCCTTTGATTCTGAGTCTTCTAAACTTGCACTGCTAGGTTTGTCTTCTTGTATTATTCCTGATAGAGGTGGTGGTCCTATTAAATCCCCATTCTCCTCCTCATCATCTGAAGCTGGTGGGGTTTTCAGCTTATCATCTGTTTGTGGCATAAAAAGGAAAATAAGAAAGCTACTTTCTTTTTTACACGAGAAACTTACGACTGGCAAAAACTTACAGTAAAACCTTAGTATTATAAAATGATACCTCATTTAAATAAAATATGTTATAAAGTGTACTCACATTTTACCAATCCATTTCATTCTATACAAATAGTATTTTGTTTAAGTATTCTCTTTTCATGTATCTGTTTCAAGTATACAGTGAAAATGTATTAAAACCCATTAAAAACCGTTCAATCACTAAAACAAGAGCAAAGCTCTCAAAGATTATAACAAATCATACCTGTGATAGGCAACCCCATCTTTAGTCTCTTTCTTTGACGAACTTTCTCAAGACGGGTTTGTAAAATCTTTTTTTTTTTGGAGGCAGAAGCAGCTTTGGCAGCATTTCCCCGCTGTGTCTCATCTCTCAATTCTTTCAGTAGGTCCATCTGCTCCTTTCTCTCTTTTTCATCTCTTGAAAATTTCATAAAACCAGCACCATGTGTTCGTGCCTCTGTTGGAGTAGATTTAAAGCGGCATATATAACAAATAAGGTTATGATCTTCATGAAGCAACATAAAGAAAGAATCTAGGGTTATAGTAGGAAAGCCCAGGATAAAGGAGCTTACTGGTAAGGATAGCCTATGACAAGCATGTACCGGGTAGCTATCATTTACTATCAATGACTCACAAAAATGCATGAATTTTATAATATATCCAGAACTTATGATAACCTACTGTATTCCAATATATAATGTATTTTCCAGGACATTCACAAAATCTAATGTTTTTCCCCTAAAACAAAATAACTTTCAATGTATGTTCAATGAATTGTACAATTTTCCCCAAAGAATTTCCTTGTAAAATAGGGGTGTATCTTACAGGCCAACAAATACGGTATAGTATTTCACTACATGTTACATTTAGAAATATTTGTTTTCAGACTATGAAGGAAAAATAAATAAATTTAAATGTAAATATAGCATACAGTACTAACCTTCAAACAAAACATCTTGATAGTGTAAGTCTTTTTTAAGGGCATTAGCTTCTTCCTCCCGCTCCCACTTTTGTCGCTGTATCTCTCGACGAACATCCTCTGACAAGAGATCTGGTTTGTCTGAGGTGCCATCCTGTTGGGTGATATTTACTATTATATTACTGCACTAAAGACTTCATACTTTATGATGAATAAGATTTAAGAATGATTTTTCAAAAGAAGTTTTTGACAACCTGTACTGGAATCTTTCTACCTTTATTCAATTTACGCTTTCAACAATTTTCTCACTCTAGAGCAAGGTACATGGAATCAAGAGAAACAAAGGATTTCCCTTCTTTTGTTGTCACTTGTTCCAAATGGCCAGCTATGGTGTTTCCCTTCCACAACAAAGCTCCACAATTTCTATCTGGTTAACCTGTCATTTCATTCATTCCCAGCATCACTAATCAGAAGCATGTCCATCCCAACCGACTACTCCACATCATGCTCTGTAATCATCCACACATACTGTTGCTTTCTGAATGTCCATCACTCTCTCGTCTAGTAACTGCCTCTACCCCTCTTTCCACATCCTACTTGGTCTTCTGTCTCACTCTTGCCAACCATTGGTGCATTAAACACTCTTCACCAATCTCTTGTTTCCTGTTCTCTCAAAGTATATTCGTACATACATACCACCTTAGTATATCTACAGTAGATCGACTGTCTGTCTGAAACTCCTTCCATTTCCAAAGCTTCTAGTTTACGTGTTTTTCATTCTTTATATATATATATAATGTTATGGTAAATATCATAAACACACATAGGCATGGCTAGGTTTATTACAAAGTGATGAAAAGGATATGCTCAATACTGTACAGTGGGTAGTCCACAAAACATGAAGCCATGTCTCTTTATTTGAGTGCCCCATCATAGGAGTCCGTTTTCTCTCACTTCAGGACGCCTGAGTCGTCCGTTTTCTCTTAATCTTAGAGTGCAGTGTACCAGAGACTTCGTTATTCCTTAGTAATGACACAGAATTTGAAATTGCAACCCCAACTGTACAGCCTGATAAGGAATGTGTAAATAGGTATATTTTAATCAAATAGTTTCTACAATAGAAAACTTAGTTGAAATTTATGAACAAAATTCTTTTAGATTTCATTCATGAAAAAAACAGCATACATGGCAAACAACTTACTTCATTAATGTCTCTGGCAAGTTCCTTATCATACTCCAACATTGCTGGCAAATCTTTCCTCAAACATTCACGGGTTCGTCCAAAAGCATCTGTGTATTCCACCCTGCCAAAAAAGGCACAAGGAAAAGGTTAGTTAGAACTACCCGAGTTGAAAATAAAATGTCACAAATTTCAATTACAATTCCTAATAGCACTCAGCACTTCTGGCATAAGTGAAAATCTTCCTCTCTGTTGCTAAGTCAGAGAGTGGTTGGAGACTTGGTCTCACACCTCTGTCCAAAACCTTCAAGTTGAGCATTTCTTGTTGGGTGTGAATGTAGTATCTCTTTTGTTTTCTTTGTTTCGATAAGATCCGTATCAACCGGCACTTTGACTTTTCTGGGACAGAGCCAAATTGCTGTGAATCTTATTAGGTCCTTACCTAATAAGGCATTTTTGAGAGGAAAAGGTCATGCAGTTCAAGAAAAGACCAGAATTTTGTATAGATAATGGGCAGTTTGTAAGGTGAATATGTTTCCCATTTTATATTGAAAGCAACTCCCCAATAAGGTACAGCCCTACAGCATCTTAAGAGCGTATTTCCACTTTCTTCCTTTTGTTAGCTGAATCCAGATTCACAGGTCACTCACAAGTAGCACCAAGTTGTGTCTGAAGCCAGAGACCATGAAATCAAGTAAACTCTACCCAATATTACAAAAGACTCTTTTAAGATCTCATTGGGATGGATTTGATTTTGTTTGATGTTGTCTGCTGAAATAAATGGTTTATCCTTGCACTGTTCACAAGACTGAGGCATTTTCAGTTTCATACGAGTAAACCTATTCCATCATATTTCATAAGCTTTCATTATTTCTAAATTATTCAGGCAGGGTGGATTGTTCTTTCTAGGTAATAACAAATAAAGTGTGAGATTTTGTAAGAAAATTCTGCTTAATAGCTTTGAACCACCAATATGAGCTATACTTTAACTTGGAAACAGAAATACTTCATAGTTTCAAGATAGATAGGCACAGAGGAAGTGACCTTGTTCAGAAAAATGGAAATTGCACAAATTTGGCAGGCTTTCAGCTTTAACAATCCTGGATATCCAAGGTAATACATGTAATGTACTGAGAACAAAAGTGAAAGACCTGTTAATAGTTCTTAAGAAACTAATAGTAGAAGGGAAAAAGAAAGGCCAAGAAGAACATGAAAGGGTTAGGAATGCTCTGATAGTAAGGGCGACAAACTTCTAAGAAGGTTCAGTATAGATAAATGATATAAGAGTATGATATCGAGTAGTTTATGGGGATATTATAGCAGTAAGAGCAAGTGAATAATGAAATTGAAGGAAGACTCTGTGTTTGCTTTTGGTTCTGGCCTTTGAAAATATAGCAAGAAAAGGCATACATGACAGAAACATTTAATAATACAGTATTAGTTACTTGTATTACAGTACGAGTATATTCTCGATTTAATGGAATTCGATATAACAAACTCAAATTAGAGGTAGGAATTTTTCCGTTATTTTTCGGTCGATTCAGTGAACTAGTTCACAAAATCGAGATTAATTTCGTTAATATGCTCACATATATGGAGACACCTCAGACACGTGATATGCACATAGAAACATTATAAAATTATCCATGGTTTCCCTTAAACTAGGGGGTTCGGTGTTTGTTTTAAATTTTTTCTATAATTCCAAACTTTTTTCAATTGATAGCTACACTCTTTTGACTTTCTCCCCCACACCACTTCCTTAAGGGGACTTTTGAGAGACTTTCGGCATGATGTCTAAGCATAGTAGTTTGTTGACCGAGATGTAGCAGTGAACAGCACACGTGGTGGCGGCAGAACACAGACTGAGCAGAAGTAGACAAACCCCACGCTCCATGCTGTGCATTTGAAGCGGAATTGAATGGATTCACGCTCGATTTAGTGAACTAGTTCGCTAAATCAAGCAAAATAACGGAAAGTCTGATTTAGCAAAAATTTTGATTTAATGGAAAGGGGTGGCTCAAATAAGTTCATTAAATCGAGAAAATACTGTATTAGTAGCATTACAAGTTATACCACAAATGATAATCAGGGTTGACATCCTTGCGTGTATTTACAGCTGATTCGCCAGGCAAGAAGATGACGGTAGCATGCAATTAAATGCCAGGTAGCGATGTGTCCTAATATTACGTATTTAGTAATTATTGCCTGTATGTTGGCCTGGCGAGTTAATGTTTGACATTTACATACCTAGATATTAAGCTAGACGTCGCATTCTGGACTATATCACAAAACTTTTTTTTTCTAACTCAAATCACACTTCTATTAAAATGGTGTGGACATGTGGACTGTATGGTAGGAAAGATAACTGTAAGTAGGGTCTATGACAGCACAGTTGAAGGCGCAGGAATAAGAGGAAAACTGAGAATGGAATTAACATGATACAGTATATGGTACAGTACTGTATAAGTGATTTTGTGAGGGAATGATTGTAGATCAGGTAGAATGGAGTAATTTTATGTGACAATAATGGTATGAATAAATATGAAAACTTGACTCGACTACTTGTAAATACTTTGGAGGTCTTGGTGCATGGTGTTCAAGGTGGACCACAGCCACCATATACTTCTGTGCCAAATTTCATTACATTATTTCCTTCAAACGACATGAATTTTATATTAAGCAATTTACTACACGATCTCCAGACATTACATACAATACACTACCATGATAAACAGCAGTATTTGTACAGTATTTGATCATCAATCTCAAACAAATGTTGTAATGCTATAATGTAAAACAAATGTGAGTGCAGGTGGCATGGCTTTATTCATGCTAAGATGAACTCATGGCTTGATGAATTTACAAAGGGTGAGATCAGTTAGAGCTGTCCACACTCCCTGCAAGTGTTCCTGATGATCATGGTGAGAGGGTCAAGCACTCACCCAGACCAACATGACCAATTATAAAAGACACCACCAACAACAACTACCAACGACACCAACAACCGTCTCTCCCACCACCAAATATCTGCACCAATACCACAATTATATACATGGCCAATACCACCATCCATCTGATAGCTGCAGCCAAATACACAAAACTATAAGGTCACATTGATCATACTTTTCAAAAACAAATCAGTGAGCTGACAAACTATAAGCAAAATTTAGTGAAGCCAGGTTGTGCAGATCAGCAGTGCCCAAAAGTCTGAATGTGCCTGGACAAGATTTTTCATGCTTATGTGAGTCTGGCACTTGCCCAGCAGACCACTTTATATCTTGAGAGGACAATATCCAGATGGGTATTTGTCTGGTGTCATGTGACCCCCACCTCAACGTATACAGCACGTGTGACCAGTGAGGTCCATCAACTAGCGGTGATGGGAGGAAGGGGGATCATGACAAATGACAAGGACAGATGACAACAGCAGGTACACAACTGTTCCCATCTTAGCCTTTGATGGAATAGGGAGCCTCACCAGGTTCATGAAGGAATCTACCATGAAGTTGGTTGTGATCTCAGGAACAAAGACAGCAGACATGGTCAAGAGCAAGAAAGATAGAAGGGCCAGGGAAAATAGTGTGGTGTACAGGATACGACGTACCTCCTGTGAAAAATATTACCAAAAGTAGGGAATACATGGTTGAAGTCAGACATCATAGGACCTCCAATGCATTCGTCATTCACACTGGTACAGTATTTAATTATTTTAAAGAAAAAAGAAAATAACCTCTGCGCTTACCAAAAAATATCCTCTTCCAATCTGAAGATTCCTAAAATGTAATGTACAGTAGATGAATTAAGTGCTATCTGGGGCAGTTGAAGCAAGAAGAGTCGAGATACAAAAGTTGAATGGGATATTATCACTTTCAGCAAGAAGTGGCCTTTTACCACTCTTATCATTGCTAATATCATAACCACAGTCACCAGCAACCAAGATAGTTATAGAAGAACACTTAAGATACTTTAAGATGACAAATTTTATACACAAGTTCCAGCTGTTATACTGTCTCAAAAATGGTTGCTGTGAGGCAAAAGGTACATGGTACAGTGAAGAAAAAATATTGTCAACTCAAGTAGTACAATGATTTTGTGAACAGTTCTTACAAGGCAGTTAACCAACTGTTGTCATGTGTTGCTCACACAGTAGTCCTTGGGCTAGGTCTTGACTGATACATGTAGTAAACAAAGAATTAAATTATGTTTCTATTGGAAAAAGATGTATGATCAGCAGCAATAGACTCAAAAACTGGTTACAATTATCAAATGGCTATTTACATGAGTTAAAATTAACATAACATAAAGCAATACACACCACTCATCCTCATCATTACAAGTTTTATAATCATCAGGGTGTGCAGTCTCTGCCTTGCTTTGTTCCTTTCTTCTATTTTCTTCTAGGGTTCTTATCTTCTTTTTCTCCAAAACTTCATCTACAATCTTCTTCTGCAAGATAAGAAGGATTGCAGCATAAAAATATAATTTTATGACCCAAGATACAAAAGAGAGACCTATAAGATACATAGTTGCCTCCACATTAATGTACTACAGCCTGGGAGTGTGTGAGAGCTCAAGTACAAGATGAGGCAAAGCAGCACAGTACAGTAGTCATGGCTGAATGAATGGGCGTGAAACAGTGAAATTACCCTGGTTGTGTGGCTGCACATCAGTGCTGAAGAACAATTTTTACAGGGATGCTTAATTTAAGTTATGTTATGCAGCATTGTGTGCAGCCACGACCAAGTGACGAGGACTGAACTACGGTTTCACGCCTGTATGTATATTATGTATGCTGTATTATATATTATGCTATGTATATTATGTATGTGCTCCCTTTATATATATTATTTATTCAGCCTAGCTAGTAGCGTGTGGCAATATATTTAAGATGACCCACATGCCTAATTAACGTGCCTGGCGACGTATGGAAGCTGTTATGTATCACTTGCCATACGTCGTCTATAGAGCAGTTGACCAGCAGACAGGTTGAGGAGCGCTACTCCCCTTGTGTACATATCTCTTATCCAGTAAATAGAACCTATACAGGTGTTTGTGTTCACTCCTGTATATTGAACTTATTACCCAGAACACGAACAACGCCCATGACTACGGCGCTACATTGCCACATCTCATACCTGTGCCCTCATACACTCCCGGGCTGTGGCACCATCATGTGGAGGCAACTGTACCACTGCCAAGCATCTCACAGGTAAAGTATTAGATCCTCAGAGCTTTGTGAAAAGATACTAAGCTAGCACTTAGGTCCTTGCAATTTTAGAATTTCACTCAAGGGAGGAAGATGGGAATTCATTTTTCACCATGTCTCCTAAACTAGAAAATGAAATCCCATATTTCAATCCTCAATTTATGGTATATGGAGCCTCATCAAAGACAGTGAGACCTCAACAAATCTGACAGAAAAAAAGGTCACAATGTCTCTGAGTCATGAGAGAGGTCAAGTTGCTGCATTAGAATATTCCTCATGTCAGCCAATAAGTGTACCACATTAACCCCACACCCTGTTCTCAGCCAATACGTGTACCACATTAACCCCACACCCTGTTCTCAGCCAATAAGTGCACCACATTAACCCCACACCCTGTTCTCAGCCAATAAGTGTACCACATTAACCCCACACCCTGTTCTCAGCCAATAAGTGTACCACATTAACCCCACACCCTGTTCTCAGCCAATAAGTGTACCACATTAACCCCACACCCTGTTCTCAGCCAATAAGTGTACCACATTAACCCCACACCCTGTTCTCAGCCAATAAGTGTACCACATTAACCCCACACCCTGTTCTCAGCCAATAAGTGTACCACATTACACCCTGTTCTCAGCCAATAAGTGTGTTCTCAGCCAATAAGTGTACCACATGTTCTCAGCCAATAAGTGTACCACATTAACCCCACACCCTGTTCTCAGCCAATAAGTGTACCACATTAACCCCACACCCTGTTCTCAGCCAATAAGTGTACCACATTAACCCCACACCCTGTTCTCAGCCAATAAGTGTACCACATTAACCCCACACCCTGTTCTCAGCCAATAAGTGTACCACATTAACCCCACACCCTGTTCTCAGCCAATAAGTGTACTACATTAACCCCATACCCTGTTCTCAGCCAATAAGTGCTCCACATTAACCACACACCCTGTTCTCAGCCAATCACCGCACTGTTCAGTAGTCCCAACCCACACTGCCCAGCCACTCCAATTACTTGCTGTATCTTCTCACACTACCATTTCTCTGTCTGTTTCTGTGTTTTTTCTTGTCGATGTTAGTGGATTAGTGAACCAATACCATGGGTGATACTGTACTTAAAGTTTCCTCTTCTATTGTCTCACCATCTGGTGCCAAGAAATGCCCTTGTAACCCTGAAGATTGACTTGAAAACAAGGCCAAAAGTCAGTGGAATCTCAGTGTGTAGCTGCAAGTGGCAGTGTTTTGAGAAGATCGTAAAAGCAGACATCAAAATGGTTTTTGAAAATTTTTGGAAGACAGGTGACTTCAATCTGCAAAATGCCTCTCTCCACAAGCAAGTGATGAATTTTGATGTAATAAAGGAGCCGTATCACTGGACACAAAGAGAACTGTTGCAAGGAATCTTGCAAATACATATTACATCACCATTCACCAGATATGTTTGCAAGTGTGCATGAAAGCAGTCCTCAAGATACATGGGATAAGTGAAAAATGGGTGAGGAATGTGAAGAGCAAGACCAGTGCTTTAGGTTCTTCTAAGAAGGATGCACATGTTACTATGTGCAACAAACCAAGGATTGCAGATGAGAGATTGCATTTTTTTTTTTTACGGGGATTAGCCCACCCGGGCACAGGTCACTGACCCACATCGGGGCCTGGGGGGCAATAATAATACTACTACTACTAATAATAATAATAATAATAATAATAATAATAATAATAATAATAATAATAATAATAAATAATAAATAAAATTTATGATAAAACAAACAAAAATAAAATAAAATAATGATGATAATAATACAGTAACTGTAACAATAATAATAATATTAATAATAAAGAACTATAAATACAAAAATGAAAAAAAAAGATCAAAAGTGAGAAACAATATATGTATGTTGTGTTGTCAATGGTAAGAGAAACAATTGAGACCCTGCAATTGCGTGTAAATGAAGCAGAAAGTCAGATCAGCAACCTGGGACTTGGTCACAATGGCAGCAGGGTCTACCATTAGACAACACATTATGCTTCCAATATCTTCCCAGGCGGTAGTACCTCCCTGTTTGGTAGCTGCCTACTACCTACTACTACCAGTTCAAGAGCACCTAAGTTCCTTCCCCACTGAGATGCTCCATTATTTCATGCCATTCTTTATCCAAAGTGAAATACAGGCGTACCCCAAAAACCAGCATCCCGTTGACTGCTGCTTCGCAAGTTTCATTGATACCCCGGAGATCTGATGATTGGCAGAGCTGTTTTGAATTTGACAGGTGGCAAATTCTTGCCACCAGAGGGCTCTGCACACTGTCCTGACTCATTCCTGTCAACTTTACTCTTGTTTACACTTACTATGTGTCTTTGACTTCGTGTTTTTTCGTTATTTCCGACTTGGTGTGTTATTCAGTCATGCCTATATGCACCAGTGATAGTTCCTCTTGTGCTGGGCAACTTTATGTGTTGTGATAAGGTGTAATAAGAGTGGTGATGGACCAGCAAAGTTTGGTAGAGACTTGAACTTGCCACCCTAGACTGTTTCTACCATCCAAAACACAGATAAATATCAGCCTCAATTTATGCTTTACATTTGTTATGTTCTTATGAGATTAATTACTTCGATAACTGTTGATTTACTAACCAACAACTTTTCCTGGTCCCTATTTGCGTCAATTATAGGGGGTACACCTGTACCTCCCTGAAGGCATTAGGCAAATTCCAAGCATGACCTATATGGCCTGTACAGCACTTGAGGGCCAGGAACCAGTCAGTGTATACTTTTACAATGACTGCATCAAGATGTTCCATCCTGACCTCAGTTTGATCATGCTCAAGTGTGATTCCTATTCTTTGCAGTTGCAGGATAAAGACATCACAGATGAGTTGAGGACACATCTTTTACTTAAAAAAAACACTTGCACCACACCAAAGCTGAGAAGGGATTTAAGATGCCCAATCTGATTTGTGAGCGTCAGGAGGACAATGTCAGGATCATTTGTATGGACCTTCAACTACAGTATTCATCTTGGCAAAGGTTAAGACTTAATGGATTTAATATAGGTACCTCTGCCTTGTGTTGTAAACTTAAATCTTCTTAACCCATACAGCGTCAACAGCGTAACAGTTACGCCGCAATGTTTCTGTACTCCCAGCATCAAAGGCATAACAGTTACGCCGATATACTTTCAAGATAAATGAATAAGTACTGTAAAATCTATACTTAAAATGCAAAAGTAAAACAAAATAAAAAATAAATAATTATAAAATCATACAAAAAAAAATACGTATTGGTGAAAATTGTAATGAAAATGAGTGTAAATAATATGAATAAGGATAAATATATTGATGTTCCAAAATCGAGATAAACGATAAATAAAGAAAAAACAGCTACAGACAGTGAAAACTAATGGTAATTAGCATAATTCCACGCACAAACGATGAAAAACTTCAACACCCGTAAACCTCTATGGGTTCTACGCGTCAACTTTAAATGCCGCAACACGTTCACCCATGGGCGTAACTACACCCTCCATGGTCCGGTGAGTTGCTAAATGATGTTTTTTCCTTCATTATATGATAGCATAAGTCCATTTCAGCCAAAATCCAAAAGTAAAAAAATTGCCGACACCAGCCGAACATAATTACTGTACAGTGACCCCTCGTTTAACGAACGCCTCGGTTAACGAACTGCCTTCCATAAGGACCTTCAATTCGGTTAACGAACAAAAATTCGGTTAACGAATTTCTTACGAACCGACCTCAACATGTTTTCACTTGCACTGACCGGGCAACCAGCTTTATTATCAGTCCGCCAATACATTAATCGGTTCTAGGGCTTAAATTCCTTACTATTTTAGTAAATATCAAGAAGTTTATACTATTCAATAATTTTAAAAGTTTAATATTCAATTTTTTATTCATTTTAACAATTATTGAACATAATTGAAGGTAAAGTGACTAGTTTAATGCGCGGCATCCAGCCTCTTAACACAGCAAACAGGCGTTAGTCTCTCTCTGTTTTCACTGGAGGTAACATCTTGCTTGAGACTCTCTTCAACTAAACGCTTTTTTCTGTGTTTCCAAGCAAATTATTGGTCATTTTGAAATATATTTTACATATTGACAATATATAATGCAGTGCAGTGTTGATTTAAAGAAAATAATCTTGAAATACACCAAGAGAACTAAAATTTTATGGGTGAAATGGTGCCATGGGGTGACTTCTCTTCCACCCCAATGCCTTCTCTTCTTCCTTCTCCTCCACCCCCATTCTAATTCCCATCATCATCATCATCATCATCCAGGAGCCTTCTACATACACACCTCAAAGTAAGTAAACTTTTCTACCATTTTTGTTGAATTTAGGAAATTTTCGGTGAGCTGGAACCAATTACCCAAAAACCCATTGAAACAATGGTTTCGGTTAACAAACGACCTTCTGGAACGGATTGAGTTCGTTAACTGATGCCGTACGGGTTAAAGAGAAATACAGTACTGTAAATTACTTTTCCTTCCTGATAAATACAATAACCCTTAATGAATATTTTATAAATAAATATCATAAGAATGTTGCGTTATATAAACTATTGTGGGCAAGAGACTAATAAATCACTTTATTATAAATTACTTACCTGAAAATTAACAAGAAATTTTTGATTGATAACGTCATTTTCCAATGCCTCTACTCCGCCCTGCAGCCTCTCATACAAGGCAGCCTTCTTCTCCAGCATTGATCTGTTCAACAATTAATACAAGGTTACCCTCAAGTTCTCCATGCAAGTGAATTTTTGGTATCTCTTCCATAAACTTTGTTCAGTAATGCATTAGAATTAAAAATGCTTATCTTTATTATGGCACAATTCTTATATGCAATCTTACATGCTTATTCTTTTATTGTTATTATGTCATAGGAATGGTAAAACTGGGTGTAGATGATAGTGGTATGTACAGTATATTCTCAATTTAATGGAATTCAATATAACAAACTCTCAATTTAGAAGAAAGCATTTTTTTCGTTATTTTTCTCTCGATTTAGTGAACCAGTTCGCCAAATCGAGATTAATTCCGTTAAGACACTCACACCTACGGAATGAAGTGACATGCCAATACACTTAACATCACTACTAAACTATAGTCTTATAACATTTTACTTTATAATTTCTATATCAAAATTAATTGACACATGATGGCTCGATCTGGCTACTTTTGCACTTAGACAACTGATCAGTGAATAAACCGGGATATATGGAGATGCATTATACACTAGTGATGTCAAGAAGCTTCGCAACTGCAACCATAACACATAAATTATCATAACCTCTACTCAAGTGCACTAAGTTAAATACTAAAAAATTTTAAGTCTAGTGCAAACCATGGGATGTTTATACTTAAATTTATTACTATCTTGCAAGAATTTTAGCAATGCAAGTTATATTCTGATAAGTCAAGTCGGTGACATTTTATGAGAAAAAATTAAACTCCCTGTCTTTTACAATCCTGAGACCCCTCCACTGATAACTATGCACCCAGTAATCTCCCCTCCTGACTGTCAACACCCCACTTCCCCCTCCTCCCAGCCAGCAGGGGGGGGGCGAGATGGCAGTGGGGATTTTATACGATGAAAATGGTTTTAGGCTTAAAGTTTTTCAGTACAGTAATATGTTGCTCAAAATTATGACTTTTCCACAGGAATAAGTATGTTTAACTAAACCCAGTGGTCAGGATATTAAGGCACTGAATGTTACAGAGTATTTCAAATAAATTCTTTGTTTAGTTCTGTAACATAAACTGGTGGTGGAGGAGGGATGGAGACCCTTATAGGGAGAAACTGGCCACTCACAAACCCCCTCTGTCATTTATACTGTAACTCGACAAAATATTGTTTATTTGTTATTTATTATTTAGTAAATATATGTAACTAATAGTTTGAGCTTATCAATACCAGTACCCTTCATATACAGTAACGTACCGTATATACTCATGTATAGTTCGAGTTTTTAAGACCAATTTTTTAGGCAAAAAATTGGGGGTTGTCCTATACATGCGTAATAGTTTTGTTAAGTTGAACCCGTGCATGGTGGGAAGGGCAAGGAGCAACTTTTAGCTTCAGACTTGAAAAATATTTACCATTTACTGCCAGTAAACAATGGAAACGTAAAATATGTACCAATTAGTAATGAAAAGTTGTGCAGTTCCTTCAGCAAATGAAGCTCACCAACTTACAATAGGCTAAATTACCTTACAACGTGCTTTCAGTAGTGTATGTTGAAGTTCTTAGCACAGGCTAACTTATCTTATCATATACGGTATCACAGTTCTCATTGATCTACAAAAAATACCGGCAATAAAAACCTTTTCGATATTTCACACTTAATATAATACCCGGTAATCTACTTCAACCTCCTATTGTTTACAACGACGCATGACGCACCACCAACTGTATCAGCTAGACGGTACACGTGTTTTTCGAATCGTTTTCAGTTAAAAAACTGTTACATCACATGTATATTTTACTTTAACTGTGCCTGAATGAATATATTCTCGGAAATAAATAGTAGTTTTGCTGAAACGTGATATATTTTAATGTAAAATATGATAAAATACATGAAGAAAACAAAAGATTTTACCTAACCTTCCGATGTTCAAGAGAAGTTACTCGTTTTTTTCATCGTTTTTGGTTAAAATATTGTTATATTACAATGGTATTCTATTCATACTGTGCTTGATATAATGCATTCACGGAAATGTAATATTTTTGCCGAAATGACGTACGTATTACAGTGGAAAGTGGGATAAAATCGTGAAGAAAACAATGACTTTCGCTTTCTTTCGTTCAAAAGATGTTACCGTAATCGCTTTTCGAATGGTTCAGTTAAAAACTGTTGTATTAATAATATTCCCTCCTAATTGACTTGAATAAATACTGAATGGAAATATACAATATTTTTGTTGAAACTACCCGCATTTCAGTGTAAAGTGTCGTAATAATAAATGGTAAACAATTTGCCTTCGGCACTCGTGTTTCAGGCACGGCGAGCCACAGTTTATAGGACGTACAGCGTTTTTAGTGAAGGTTTTGTTGTTCCATTACCCTCAAAAATGTGGGTCGAACTATAAACGAGGAATATCGTAAAATAACGATTTCTTGGTCAAAAAATCAGGGTCGACCTATAAACGAGGGGGGGGTTATAGACGAGTATATACGGTACAGTCAACCCTCACTTTACGCGGTTAATGTAACCCACAGGGTACCGCGGAAAGTGAGAAACGCGTAAAGTGAATAACATAACATATGGGATTAAATGAAATAGAAACCAGCTGACCCCCAAACTCCACTTTTTCCAACACAATACCTATGTTCTAGTAAAAATAACATCATAATTTTATGATGGTACATGCACACAATTAATACTTAAGAGAAATAGAGAAATACAGTCGCCAAGTTAATGTCCATTCAAATAATGGACACGACTCCCTCCCCCTCTTCTCACACTACACTGCTGGCTCTTCCCTCTGAGAAATTTTGGGGGGAAAACCAGGTATAGTAATAAATAATACCTCAAACTAAAGTTAGGATAATATAATTGACATTGCTGGATTCCTTGTAAGACCAGGAATATTTTGAATATAAATGTCATATATTTTTCACAAAAGATAACATATTTACTCAGATTAAAAATTTTATCTAAAATTTGTATGTCTAATGCAAAATATATGATGTTTATATTCAAAATGATCACCAAATTGTAAGAATTCCAGCAATGTAAATTATATTCTGGCCGGGTAATTTGTATGAATTTTATGAGCTAAAACAAATATCTTCAGTTAATAAAAAAAAAAATATTCTTCACGACACTATCTGTCAATCAAAGTACCCCACCTTGCCTCCCCCCCTCTTCCAACCGTGCGGTCAGTCCCAACCCTCCCCCTCCAACCCCCACCAATCCTCCCTTCAAGAGAAAGGTTGGGTGGAAAAAATAAATTTTAACATTTTGTATTAAATAATACCTCAGATTAAAGTTAGGATAATATAACTGACATTGCTGGATTCCTTGTAAGACCAGGAATATTTTGAATATAAACGTCATATATTTTGCACAAAAGATAACATACTTACTCAGAGTGAACATTTTATCTAAAAATTTTATGTCTAATGCAAAATATATGATGTTTATATTCAAAATGATCATCAAATTGTAAGAATTCCAGCAATGTAAATTATATTCTGGCCGGGTAATTTGTATGAATTTTATGAGCTAAAATAAAAATCTTCAGTTAATAAAAAAAAAAATATTCTTCACACGGTAACAGATGGTCGGTCGCCGGTCCCTCCCTCCCTCCCCCCCACCCCCCACCAACGTCCCTACTAGATAAATGTGTGGGAATACCAGACTGTTTACCTTTTTAGTAATAAATAATAAATCAGACTAAAGTTAGGATAATATAATTGACATTGCTGGATTCCTTGTAAGACCAGGAATATTTTGAATATAAATATCATATATTTTGCACAAAAGATAACATATTTACTCAAGAGTAAACATTATATCTAAAATTTGTATGTCTAATGCAAAATCTATGATGTTTATATTCAAAATGATCATCAAATTGTAAGAATTCCAGCAATGTAAATTATATTCTGGCCGGATAATTTGTATGAATTTTATGAGCTAAATAAAAAAATTATACTTCACCATGTAAAGGGGTACACCCACTGCGGAATGTGAGCATCCTGGGTTCTGGCAGGGCACCGCGTAAACGTGGAAACGCAGAATGTGGGACCGCGTAAAGTGAGGGTTGACTGTACTTATTTTTACCTTTTTATTGGCTTGTCACAAAATTTTTATGCAAATTACTGATCATATATTGTATTTTTTCAATAGTAGTATCAAATATTTTATATTATCTATGATAAAACATACACCATAAGAGGCTGATCATACAAAAATATATAATAATAAATGTTGGAGGGTGTGTGCTGGTGGTGTTAAGGGTGTGTGTATGTGATGTTGATGTGTATCCTCTCACTCACACACACACACACACACACGGGAATTAGAACAACACGTGCATCCAGTGAGGGTTGTGTTGTGTGACTGCCTGGAGGCGAGATAAATATCAGCTGTTGAGGAGCGCTTGGCAACACGGTGCATGTTACCATTCCATCTCTCTAATCACCCACACTTTTCTGCTTTCTCACTCCATATTTTAAAATGTTATGTAAAATAATGTTGAAGGGGTACAACTTTTTTCATTTATACTTATACTTATCACAATCTCCCTAAAAATACTTTAGCTTTCAACTTTATTCAAGGCATCTTCAGGTTATGAGACCCATTAATACCCCACCCAAGAAAGGGTGACCTGATATTCCATCCCAGTAAATTCAGTTGCCTCTGAAGATGTCTTGAATAAAGACAAAAGCTAAGGAGCTCCAGTGTATACTTAATTGACTGAGAACTCGATTTAGCGGAAATTTCGATTTAACAAATGGGTGGCTCAAATTAGGTCATTAAATCAAGAAAATACTGTAGCTGTTCCAGTACAGTGGCAGGTTGTCAGTTGACGAATATTCTAGACATGCAAAGATACTTCAGTTAACGCATGGCCAAGAGAAGGAACACACACACACACTTCTCAACTGCATTTTATATTGTATCTCATCTCATTACCGGTATATACTGGTATGAATTTCACGTTCTGTTTTGTTTTACAAATTTTTAGGTCTTTCCATACAAAAAATCAATCCAAGTACTGTCTCTATGTACACATGATCGCAGATACAGTATGTACGGGCAGCCATAGATCCAGCAACCCATCCTTTGCTTTCGTATTCGCTACTCTATCTGGTAATACTTGGTGAAGAAAGGCTAGAGGATCCATTTTCGGCTTTATCACTGTCAGGATAAATATTAACAATCCAAAGACATGAAGCCTTTTTGCAACATTACTCTTCAACATGTGAGGCCTGCACGGACGTTTAAGGCCCCATGAAGGCCCAGCCTCAGGTTCACTCGCCTCACTTTCACTCACAACAGGGGCTGGGTTATCCACATATGACACACTTGTGATAGAGGAAACCTTGTTGAAACTTTCTATAGTGGTAACTCGATTTCAGGAATGGTGGCGCTTGTGCCCTTATTACAGCGGCGGCCTCCTCTTAAAAGAATAGTTTTGGTGTTACTATAGCATGCACTCTACAAAGACATCTTTAGTCTAACCTAAATATCTTGTAGACCAGATGCTATGGTAGCACCATATATATCTTTGTTTTGTTTTAGCTTAAGTTAAAGCAGTGTACATACTGTACAGTACTGTGCAGTCAGTCCTCGACTTACGATGGGGATAGGGACCGACGACCAGGCCGTAAGTCAAAAATGCGAAAACAATACAAAGAAAATCTAAAATGGGTTTCTTTTTCTTCTCGGCACTTCGAGAACTCTCACTTTTACGCTTGCCAGCAATTTTAAAGGGAATTGCAAATGAAAATTTTGACAGTACACTGCGCGATCACTAACGTCGGGACTCGAAAATACGTAATTTGAAAAATATCTTATTCGACTGCGGCGGTTGTATGTCCGGGTGGTCGTACGTCGAGTAGGTCGTAAGTCGAGGAGTAGCTGTACTTGGAAACTAAGGCTCAATGACACATGTAGGCTAACTAGAAACAATGTTTGTGTATTAAAGGTACAGTGCATATATTGGTGCAATTTGAATCTCAACTGAACATTTTATTTAATATACTGTAGGCATCTGATCACATATAGACAAGTAGTGCAATGTGTCTGTAAGTTCTAGAGTCCAGTGTTTACCACACAGGACATTAAAAAGTATAATGTAATCATAGAAAGATATGTAAATAATTAACTCTATCCTACTATACTGTGGATTAGCTGCTAATTCATAAACTTATGGGTAGTTACAACATACCTTGATTTTTCTTGAGTTATTGTTTCCTCTTCTTGTTGTTGTTTATCTCTGGCATCTCTATCACTGACACCAGCATTGAAAGACTGAAAGGATGTCGACTTTTTTTGTTTGCCACCATCCCTCTTAGTTTGGCCTTTCTGTCCAGCTCCAAACTTGCTTGCCTCTGCACGTTTCTTATGGAGTTCTGCGCGCAATCCAACGAGCTGGTGGGTGGAACTCTCTTGGTTACAAGGAAAACATAAGAGATTTATCTTTGGGGCAAATCACTTTTTCTTTTAGTTAGATTAGGTTAGGTTGGTTGGCTCCTTTGGAATGAGAATAGGTTAATTTTGATGTTTTATTCAAATCTCAAAGCCATTCTTGTGCAAATTAGCGGTTTCTGTTAAAATGAAAATGTTAATTTTTAGCCCAAAAATGCTAATTTGCACAAAAATGGAGGTCAGATTTGAGTAAAACACCAAAAATAACCTATTCTCATGCCAAAGTAACCAACCAACCAATCTAACCTAACCTATTCTCATGCCAAAGTAACCAACCAACCAATCTAACCTAACATATTCTCATACCAAAAGAACCAAACTAACCTAACCCAACTTAAATAAAAAAAAAAAAATAAATAAAAAAGAAGTGATTTGCCCCAAAGATAAATGTCAGAATCATATAAAACAGCAGGAAAACTTGCATAAAAAATAATAATAAATAAATAAAAAAAAAATTTTTCATGTGAAAAAAGGTGATGGGTGGTTAATTAAAAATGACCGAGGACACTGTTGTAGTTTGTGCAAATACCTCCAAGAATGTTAAAGGTAACATAACCTATATCTAAAGTCCAAATAGCAAAATATGGTCAATTTATAGTCTTGCACCGGTCTTTCTTTCGCTGTTATTAATATGCATTTCGTAATGTTTAGACAATTCTAAGACCTTTTTCTTCTTTGTTATTTCCACCGGAAATTAAAGATAACCGAGATATTAATTTGGTATTACAGTGTATTTTATTTTCGGACATAGTGCCGCAAAAGTTATGAACCACTGAAACATTTAGATCTCGCTATTCTGAGCATTTTAAACCCCATATATACATGGGGGAAATGGATAATGGCGACACAATTGAATTTAATTGATTTTAAGTAGTTTCCAGTCTTTGTCTATGTGAGATTGTGTTATCGGCTCATCACACATGCGCAATTTTCACTGACATCATGCAGTCGTGACTAATGATGTATTGATATCTTCATGCATTTTTTTTCGACCAATCACATTTTTTTTCAAAGGAAGCAGCCTGGGTAATTTCATTGACCAGTCTCACAATGGCCGTGGTGGAGGTTGGTTGTCATTTGTTCTCCTACGATAATTTTAAGTTTATTGCTGAGTTTTACGAGAAAGACGATCATTCTATCCAATTCTTACAAATCCCTGGTCCTTCCACTTCTAACTATGGTATTGTACTTTCGGACATGGCACGTCCCAAAGTTTTCAATTACTGAAACAATTAAGGTTAGTTTAAGCTAAGGGTCTGGTTAGGCTTACCAGGGGTTTGGGGGGCGGAGCTCCCTGCCAGGAGTTAGTTTAGTAAGGTCAGATGACCCGTTTTCGTTTTCTCCCCCACATAAAAACCTCCGCAAATAATGAAGGTCAGATTCGTTTAAAACAAACCAAAATACACTGGGAAAGATATTGGTCAACCCCTAGGGACTGTCCTAAAGTAAAAATTTACCATTAATTTTTCAATATTATTACAATCTTTAGTCACAAGTTTCGCCATGTCTTGTTTACTTTTGGTGGAAATCACTAGTTTTTGAGATTAACCCCCCCCCCCCCTCAACAATCATAACGTTGAAAGTTGGATTTTTTCTCAAATAAATCACATAAATAAAATGCCAACCAACAAAACCTGACTTAACCTAACCAGGGGTATCAGACTCGGCCAAAAGTAAACAAGACATGGCAAAACTCGGTCCGACTAATTACCCAAATGTACCCAAATGTTTGGTATCCAAATATTGCAAAATGTAGCCGCAATGAAGTCAAATAATGGTCTTACATGAATAAATCGGACTGCTAATCACTTCTCGACTAGTATTTGGTGTCACAAAGTCAAAAAAATTGGAAAACTTAATTTAATCTGAGTTAATAGATCGCGTGCGTGTATCGAGGGAGCGAGTAATTACCCAAATGTAGTTGCAATATGAAGAAAGACTGAAAAGCTTAGGCTTGCATTCATTAGAGAGGCGTAGAGTTAGGGGAGATATGATAGAGGTGTTCAAGTGGGTAAGTGGGAGTAACAAGGGTAAAATGGAAGATGTTCTGAAGCTCAGTAATAACGAAATAACTAGAACAAATGGCTTTAAATTAGATAAATTCCGATTCAGAAAGGATATAGGCAAGCACCGGTTTGGTAATAGAGTTGTGGATATGTGGAATAGGCTACCGAGTGCTATAGTAGGATCGGGGACGCTAGGGAACTTCAAGACGAAGTTGGATAGGCACATGGAAGTGCTGGGATGGGTGTGAAAGGGATCTGCCCTGTATGGGCCAGTCGGCCTCCTGCAGTATCCCACTTTCTTATGTTCTTAAATGATGGTCCTACAAGCGTAAATCGGGCTGTGAATCACTTCTCTATTATTATTTGGTGTCATAAAGTCACACAAAATTGGTAAATTAAATTTAATCTGAGTTGTGTTGTGTTAGGTTAGGTTAGATTAGGTTAGGTGCAAGCACTTGATCTATTAACTCAGATTAAATTAAGTTTACCAATTTTTTGTGACTTTGTGACACCAAATACCAGTCGAGAAATGATTGGCAGTCCGATTTATTCATCTAGGACCATTATTTGACTTCATTGTGGCTACATTTGGGTAATTAGTCGGACCCGGCAAAATTTGTGACTGAGCGAATGTAACAACATTGAAAAATTAATATCTCGGTTATAATTAATTTCCGTGGAAATATAATGGAAGAAAAATGTCTTAGAATTGTCTAAACATTACGAAATGCACAGTAATAACAGAAAAAAAGACAGGTGCAAGACTATAAATTCACCCAAAAACATTAACTCTTTCTTTAGAAACTGGCGGGGACGTTAGAAGGAACCTAAACTTAATGTAGTTCTGTGGTTTTCCTTTACCCCTACCATCTTGTTAGGACCCCCCTCCCCCCCAAACAGTGCCAAAAGCCACCACACTCACTCCGGACTCCATCTCGAAGACTACACCAGCTAAGGTGTTTTCCTCTCAATGTTTACATGATCAACAAGAATCCGGATTCTCCTCTTTTTTTTTACTTATTGTGAGTTGTGTCACGAACTTTATCTCCAGATTTTGATCCTTTTGAATTAACAGCTAACTGCGGAAAAGCACCGACGTCCAGTAATACACAGTACAGTACAGTACAGTATGCAATGTAAATTAATTTGGTTCAGCGTGTCCAGTCACTGTAGCAGGGTTGCCAAATGTACGACAAGCTTCACGGCCAATTTCACGCCATCTCACGGCCAAAGCGGCCAAAAAAATTTGGATGGGAGGCACAAGGCTATTTTTGCAATCCACACAAAATAAAAGTATCCCATACAATAGCCACTCAAAATGTCGTAATAAAACCAAATTTTCACTTAGAATTGAGAGCCCAATAATTACATAAACATAATATCTATAATCTACAGTGAAGATTTACCTTTGTAGGAGTTCATGGTATAATGTTGTCTAGCACTCAGGATGGATGGAAACTCTAATGTGGTTTTCTTATATAATATAAGTTATATGATAGACAGTCTGGTGCTGGAGGTGCCGTGTGGTGAGGAGCTGCTCAGTAGAGACGTTCGGTGAGTAGCGTGTTGAAGGAGGTAGATGTGCAGGAGCTTCGTTAGAGATGTTGCCTGTTGCTGGCCTCCTGGTTGAATGAATGCTGGACAGCGAAGAACTTGCTGGAGTAGGTGTTGCGTGTTCAAGAAGAATGGCCAGAATGAGAGCTGGTTGGTGAGGAAGCTCAGAGAAGGACAGCTGGTGGGTCGCCATGCTCGCTGGCGGGAGCGAGGACCGCCAGGCAGGCGAGGAGAAGCGAGGGCCGCCAGGCAGCGGCGGAGGAGGAGGTGTTGCTTGTTCAAGAAGAGAGACCAGAATGAATCTCAATGGAGAGACAGAGCTTATATACCAAGCAGCCGTGAGTCATCTATGAGTCATGTTGGGAAAACCCGAGAAGTAACCGGTCTTTGGCTCGGTTGCTAGGATACGGTAGCATTGGAATGCGGATACGCAGTTGTAGGGGAGAAGTCCACTACAATACTCCCCCTTCCCTCCAGGCGGTGTAGGAGACTTGTTGTCTGTAGAGTTGCTTAGCACATGTGAGGCAGAACGGGCGGTGCATGCCTCATGTGAGACAACGGCGATGGCGTGAATGAGCCGATCGCTGAAATACAACTGTCTAGATACACACTATCTGTGGGAGAAGGGAGAAAAAGGGTGTGTGGAGGCGATGAATGTTGTGCTTCCCTCATGACAGGTACAGGGTATTCAGATGCGCCTGCTGGGGTGTGTGGGCCTGGGTCAGGAGCAGGGGCTGCGTCAGCAGAAGCGGATTAGGGCTCATGACAGCAGCTGGGTCCACGACAGCAGCAGGGTGCAGGACATTAGCAGGGAGTACCTGAGGGAGAAAAGAGGGTGTGTGGAGGCGATGAATGTTGTGCTTCCCTCACGACAGGTACAGGGTCGTCAGATGCGCCTGCTGGGGTGTGTGTGGGCCTGGGTCAGGAGCAGGGGCTGCGTCAGCAGAAGCGGTTTAGGGCTCGTGACAGCAGCTGGGTTCACGACAGCAGCAGGGTGCAGGACATTAGCAGGGAGTACCTGAGGGAGAAAAGAAGGGTGTGTGTGTGGGTCGGTAGGATGTGGTGCTTGGGGCAGGAAGAGGAGCTGGTGTCTGCTTCTGTGTGGATAAGCCATTCTTCTATGCTGCTTGAAGACTGGGAGCGTGATCAGTGTCTCCTCCATCCTGTGTGAGTGCTAATCTCCGGGAGTTACCATTTGTAGGAGTTCATGGTATAATGTTGTCTAGCACTCAGGATGGATGGAAACTCTAAGGTGGTTTTCTTGTATAATATAAGTTATATGATAGACAGTCTGGTGCTGGAGGTGCCGTGTGGTGAGGAGCTGCTCAGTAGAGACGTTCGGTGAGTAGCGTGTTGAAGGAGGTAGATGTGCAGGAGCTTCGTTAGAGATGTTGCCTGTTGCTGGCCTCCTGGTTGAATGAATGCTGGACAGCGAAGAGCTTGCTGGAGTAGGTGTTGCGTGTTCAAGAAGAATGGCCAGAATGAGAGCTGGTTGGTGAGGAAGCTCAGAGAAGGACAGCTGGTGGGTCGCCATGCTCGCTGGCAGGAGCGAGGACCGCCAGGCAGGCGAGGAGAAGCGAGGGCAGCCAGGCAGCGGCGGAGGAGGTGTTGCTTGTTCAAGAAGAGAGACCAGAATGAATCTCAATGGAGAGACAGAGCTTATATACCCAGCAGCCGTGAGTCATCTATGAGTCATGTTGGGAAAACCCGAGAAGTAACCGGTCTTTGGCTCGGTTGCTAGGATACGGTAGCATTGGAATGCGGATACGCAATTGTAGGGGAGAAGTCCACTACACCTTAATCTGAAATGGTGGTGGAGCATGATAATGGTGGAGAACTTGGTAACACTAGTTAGCGTAAGCAAAAACGTATAGTTCGTCACCGTCCCCTGGTTTGTTATATTTTCTACCACTGTCGTAGGACCCTTTCCATTTCCTAGTGGACATTTTGAAAACTAGTGTGGGGTACGGGTTATTGAACATAAGAAAATAAGGAGTCTGCAAAAGGCCGGTTGGCCTGTGCATGGCAGCTCCTGTCGAGAGTTACTACCACTCTCTATCATCCATGAATCTATCTAGCCTCCTTTTGAAACTTTCCAGAGTTCCCGCACTTACTACAAAGTTGCTAAGCTTGTTCCACTCGTCCACCACCCTATTTGTGAACCAGTTTCTTTCTATCTCCCTCCTAAACCTAAACTTATCCAACTTGAATCCGTTGCTCCGAGTCCTATCCTGCTCGGATATTTTAAGAACTTTATCTATATCCCCTTTATTGATTCCTTTCACCCCGGCGACCTACGCAGCCACGGCAGACAGAGTATTCCATGAATACACTGCTGTGTGCCTTGCTGCCGCGGACAATTCAGCGGCCACACCGTCACTTACCTCCGATCTTGTCAACCAGATCAACACTCCCCAGACAAGCAATACCTCACAAGAAATGAGGGACCTGCTACAGTCTCTACACTGCAGGATGAACACCCTAGAGCAGCTCTTCTCCTCCATGCCTGCTGCTGCTCCTATTCCTGCCCCACACACTGTGTCCTACCGACTCCGACGTCTTCGTCCTGCCTCGGACACCGCCGCCAGCTCCCAGCACAGTGTACCTACCCTCTGCTGGTACCATCAACACTTTGGTGCTAACGCTAGATGTTGTTAGGCTCCCTGTAACTACTCGGGAAACGGCATCGACGGGGACTAGTAGACGCCACAACCTTAGTCACTTCAGGCATCTCACTGCTGCATATCACCGACCGCATCTCCAGCAGGAAATTCCTCGTTGACACAGGGACATCGGTCAGCATCATCCCTCCCTCACCGCGAGACACATCAAAGCAACCCTCATATGACCTGTTCGCTGCCAACAGTACCCCCATCATCTCCTACGGCGCACATATCCTCGCCTTAGACCTTGGTCTTCCCAAGACTCTGCGCTGGTCCTTTGTGGTGGCAGACGTCTCTTAACCCATCCTTGGCTTCGACTTCCTCACCTTCCACAAGCTCATCGTCGACCCAAGCCACCTATGCCTCATCCGTGAGCCTACAGCAAACACATCCTTGCACTGCAAGTTGTAACAAGCTTCCTTTTTTTGTTTTTTGTTTTTTTCAATTCTGGCTGCTTTTCCTTCAAGAGCTCAATTTCATTTTGCAACTTGAAGAAATGTTCTAAGACTCGCCCTCTGCTCAACCAACGAACCTATGAGTGGTAGAGCACATCTTTGAACTTAGTATCAATCTCTTCCAGAGAAGCCCTTTGCTACAGATTTTATTGGTGGATTTCACAATTACGTCCATCACATGATGCAGCTTCAGTGTTTTTCTATGGAGAACTTCCTGATGGACAATGCAATGGACGGTCAGAACAAAATTTGTTGAAATTGTAATCAATTCCATGACATATGGGTCTGAATGAAATTTACTAAAATGAAAATGGTAGCATGCATGGATCTTAACCCTCTCAGCCTCGCACGATGCCATTATGACGTCAAACATAAAAGGCAAAAAAAACTTAGGCTCAACCTCGCAATGCCATGTCCAATGGGCTATATTTTCAAAAAACTCGAACTATTCAGTGAAACTGACTGAACTTTGGACGCCATTTGACAGACGTCGTTTCCTTTGTGTGGGCCTTATCACCTTCCCTGAGGCGGGTCTTGGTCATCATATGCATGGCAGCGCAGCATGAAGCCAGTATTGCTCTGGCCATTAGAGCAAGAGGAGGGCGCGCCGCTCGGCCCTTAAATTATTCCAGGAGTTTTTGTTATATTATATTTCCTTATACCACAATATTCTACAGGTTTTGTTCTTTATTTTGGTGTATAGTACATATCAATGAACACCATAATACAAAGAAAATGTGAATGGAAATAAATGTTACTAAGCATTATCCTACTTTTTCAACTTGTACTAAACAAAAGTGGCTTAAATTTCAAGAATTTTCAATTCTTTTATGGTTTCATACAAATTTTCAGACAATTTTATGCTAGAAGAGACTCCATTACAATATATTTTACCCTTCATAAGGCATACTACGAAGAATTACGTATCAGTAATACTACATTATGCAAAATCTAACATTTTAAAATATCAGAATCACATTGAAATATTACACGACCTCTGAAAATTGGTGGATGAGTGTGACAGACTAGGGATCTTGGCCGCTCTCACCGTCAGCAGAGGCGGGAAATATGAAGCTGTTCACAATCATATTTCCCGCCTATGCTGACGGCCGTGTAATATTTTTGTGATTCTGATCTTTTAAAATGTTAGTTTTTGCATAATGTAGTATTACTGATATGTAATTTGTCTTAGTATGCCTTATGGTGGGTAAAAATAAGTATGTATTAAATGCGTCCCCCGAAAGCGTGAATTTACTACCAGAGTTTAACAGTTAATTCAAGTACAGTGGGGTATGCTATAACGAATCTAATTGGTTCTAGAACCTTGTTCGTTATAGCATTCGTTCGTTATAGGATTAATCC